CAGAGCCCAGCAGGTCGAGGCTGCGGTGACCGGGAGCAGTCACTGCACTCCAGTCTGGGCAACAGAGTGAGACTCCAACACAAAAAATTTAAAAAATAAAAAAAAAATAAAAAGCTGGCCACATATTTCTCATTTTCATTCTCTGGAAAATACCATCTAGTAGTAACTGCATGCACATCATTGTTCTAAACACTATTGGCACTACACCAGCAAGTATACACTTAACTCAGAACATAAATAGTGCCAAGAATTTTTATTAGTACCTCCCAAACAATCAAGTTATTATGAATTCTCCTATTTAATGGGCAAAAAAATCTTATTTAACTGTTTACTCTTACCATGTTTTTTATAGAATCTCAGAGTGCATGTGTAGCACTATTAAACTGAATTCTAAGTGTAATGCAAATAGTAAGAATACAATTCCAAACTGACTCTCTAGGAAGGTTGTAGTTGATATCTTCCAGACATATATTTTCTATAAAATCAGTATACTGGATATTCAAGTTTGTCACCATCACTTTTAGTACATTTTAGTTCTTATCTCTCACATAACAGAGAGTAACTCATGTTAATTATTAACATTATACACACATGATAACGTTAGCTTTACTGATGGCAGTTTAAAAGTTTTATAAAGTTGTGGACTTAGCTTAGTTCAAACGCGTTAGCTGGGTTCTATTTTTTTCATCTCTGATCTCAGGAATACTGGTGGGCCACCTAAATTACACAAATATCTTGACAATAAGTGTGTAAAGGACCTGTTGGTGCCTGTCTGGGCCCCTACATGAAAGCTCTCTTTCCAAGAGGAGGGACAAAAAGGTCTCAGAATTTAACTACCGTCCTCCAGTGCCCAGTAGCCAGTGACTAAGTAATGCGAAAATGCAATAGTCTAGCTCTTTTGCCTCAAATTGGAGCATGTTTTGAGGTGTTATTTATGCTCCAGAGCTCTCCGTGGAATCAAGCTAAGACTGAGATGTCGCTAAAGCCACACTCTTGTTTAGATTCTTTCCCCTTGTCCTGCTTCACCCAACCCTTTGCCGGATTCTCCTGGAAACACTACCTTATCAGCACCCACTTAAGAATTAATTATGGGGGGGCACACAACATCAATAACAGTACCAACATTTACCTGTATGATGACCACATATGTACCTAATCCTCATTTGTACTCCACATTTTAAAGATAAAATAATTTAAAAAGAAAATAATAAATCAAAATAATTAAATTGCAAAAAAAGAATCAATTACCAGCAATTGCTGTAATAATACTAGTAGCAATAAATAACTAGACAGACTTAAGTATATAAATCCCAATGTAGTTTGCATGTGTCAAATAGATTCCCAAATAAACCTGTATGTAGTGATTCTAAACATAATATCCTATACTTGCATATGTTTGACAGTGGATTCACAACGTGCATACCTACGGAAATTTGCAGCAACAATTAAATAACTCAAAGAAACACAAAAGTCCAAAAAAATTGCAATTTTTTTGAAGATACATGTGTCATTTGGATATATATGAGGGGGTCCCCAAAAAACCAAGTTGTTTTTTGGAGGGTTGGCCCCTTGTAGTACAGGCTTCCCCCGCTAGGTAAGTGTTCTAGAAACCCATCGGCATCAGTGTACTGGCTAGTATTTGCCGTGAGAGGCTGCGTTCTGCTTCGGTGAATTTTTTTTGGAGATTCTTTCATCATGTTTGCCTATTTCATGATGGGTAATTTACAAGCGCACCTGCCCACACAGCGCTGAGTGTTCAACAGTTTTTGACCAAAAACGGCGTGACCCCTGTGCCTCACCCTCCCTATTCATCTGTTCTCACCCCGAGCGACTTTCTTTTCTTTCCCCGGATGAAAAAAAGTCCTCAAAGATAAACATTTTGCCGATGTGGAAGAGGTAAAATAAAAAATGGCAAAAATACTAAAAGGCATCAAAATTGAGAAGTCTAAAAACTGTGTTGAGCAGTGGAAAAAGCATCTCGATAGGTCTATTGCATCAAACGAAGGTGACTGAAGTTTAAACATATAAGAATAAATAATTTTTGAAAATAAATTTCAGATTTTTAAGGGACCCCCCCCTCATGTGTGTGTATGTGTATAGATGATAACAGGTATATATATATTTTTTTAACATCCACTCTTTTGCTTTGGCATTTATGCTTAGGCTAATATTCATTTCATATCCTTTAAACACTGGTAGAATGATGAATAAAAGCTTGCCCGGATGCCAAGGGGATTACCTGAAGTAATTTAGGAATAAAAAATGTTTCATAGTATAGCTACATTTATAAATTGGAGTTATCACCATCTACAAAAGCGTGTGTATAGAAAGATGTAAGAGTACACTAAAATGACAATTATTGAAGCAGAGCGATTACAGAAAATCTATTTTTAAATATTTATGTTTAATCCATAAGAACTGACAGTTCATATAACATTTAGATCAGCTGGATCATATACTATCAAATGAAAATGACTTGAATTGTTTTTCCAGTTCTCAGATGTTGTTATATCTTCGCATTCACCTCTAACATATAAATGATCAAGTGATATTTCTCTGAAAAATTGTTTTTATTCTGCTAAATTAAACCAAAGTTCTTGGTTAAATTTTTATTGTAACCTTCCAAATATATTTGTTTGACTACTGAAAGCTTCTTAAATCATTCAAATCATCTTTTGGCCTGCCCAAACTCATCACTCTGGGTCTAAAACTGCTTAAGTTTCTTGAGTGTCCCTGAAATGTAGAAATCTCTTCCCATACTTTATTTTCATTACTCTTGTAATAAACTCTTTGAGCTTTTAGTCAATCTGAGCCTGCTTAGAATACAATTATTTCACTTGTAAATGTTAGAAGCACTATAAGTGGGCTTACTTAAATGATACTTTCATTGAGCATCTGTAATTTTACATTAAAAAGAAAATAATCAAAAACATAAATATGGAAAAAGCCTAATGTTACAAATGGCTTTGCTTTTTCTAACCAGCACAAGATGAATTAACTTTTACTGTCAGCCATGCAAATTTCCACAGTCTCAGACCACGGATGATGGTCTATGATTATGTTGCCAGTATTTATAACTTTTGGCTGCAACCCTACTGCCTCGCAATTTCCTCCCAGACTTGCCTATTGAACAAAACTTCTAACTGCTGGTTATATTTACACTGACCATATATATAATTTTGTTGTCCAAAGTGGTGCACTCTAGGAAAAGCAGAAAGGGTTTTTAATAATTAAGAAGAAAAAACAGGTAATCTGAAATTGTCCTGGGCTGACTAGAACATTCGGCCCTGCTAGTATCTTATAAAGTAACCAGACTTCCAGTATCATAACCTATGGTGAAATATACTTAAGTGGAAGAATCAGTAAATAAATTGCATTTGGGTGCATTCATACGGATTTTCTCCTAAATTTTCAGATCAGTGTGTTATATATATATTATTTGCATATAATTAACCCACTTACCCAGACACATATACAAAATCCATCTTGAGGAAGACATGATAGAAAGGAAAGATAAATAGAATTAAACAGAAAATCTGAGAAGCTTATTGTCACTTGACTTGCCTCTTTTTCCTCATTAGTAAAATTAACAGGTTGTATTATTCATTTATTTAAATCTCTAAAATGCGCGCGTGTAGGAGAATCTGGGAATCAATGTAAAATTGTGTTCATCTCTAATTATGAAAGAGGACTTTTAAAAAAAGTTGATGATCGAGGGCAGGGATGTACAGACTCCTGCCCACAGGCCACATCTGGCTCTCTGCCTGATTCTGAATGGTGCTTGAGCTAACAACTGTGGTTCCAGGTCAACATTTAAAATCCATTTGATGGCAGGAAACACTAAGTTTGAAACGCAATTAAGTAAAATTTGTTGCCTCAAGAAGAATTCCATTCTTCTCATTAGTAGGTTGTTATGACAAAATAATTTCCAGTCAATTATTATTATGATGTCTGAATTCTATCCACAACAAAAAGCCGACATTGTATTTCTCTCTCACTGCATAATTTTGATTTTGTCTCTTGTCCTGCTGAGGCTAATATTTACTACAAGATCCTTACAGGAAAAGTTTGCTGACCCCTGATCTAGATTCTTTTTTTTTTGAGTTGGAGTCTCATTCAGTCGTCCAGGCTGGAGCGCAGTGGCAGGTAGGCCCAGGGCCACCCTGGCACCTCTACCTTCCAAAGAGCGGGAACAACAGGTGCCCGCAACCATGCCCAGCTATGATCTAGATTCTCGATGCATCAGAGCAAAAGACCACGCACACGCGCGAGCATGCGCGCGCGCACACACACACACACACACACACACACACACACACACACACACACACACACAACAACAACAACTTGGAAACATGACTTGCCATGAACCTCCTTTGCTTTGTCGCTGTTTAAATCCAGGTGTGCCCCTGGCTATACTGGCAGTCCCAGCAGCCCCGGAGGCTCCTGCCAAGAATGTGAGTGTGACCCCTCTGGTTCTCTGCCTGTGCCCTGTGATCCCATCACAGGACTCTGCACGTGCCGACCCGGAGCCACGGGAAGGAAGTGTGACGGCTGCAAGCACTGGCATGCACGCGAGGGCAGGGAGTGTGTTTGTACGTATGCTAACTTAGCTCTTGGAAGGGGCGGGGCTTGGTTCCATTTCTGTCTCATTTCTGATGAAAAAGCCTGACTTATTTTTTTCTGTTCTGCAATAGCTAGTTTTGCTCTTCATTCTTTCTGACGCTATCTATCTGCCTTCTTCTGCTTGCCTGCTGGTTTTTTCTCTATCCTGCTGAGCCAAGAACAACTGAGAAAATCCTCAGCTCGCCTTAGTCAGGCCATTGAAGACCCACAACAAAGCTCCTGGAGGCATATTTTATGTTATTATTTTGTTTGTCCATCTCAGGGTTTGCAGTGTTGCCTCAAGTTGGCATTGCCTTTGTGACAGATTAAAGATCCAAGTTTGTTCAAATTTTTAGAGTCCTCCTGAATTTGTAATAGGCTGGAAAGACACTCTAAGCTTTGAATTACAACTGATTTTTCCTTTTCCAGCTTTTAGAGTAATCCATGGGCATACTGCTTCGAAACTTTCTCTTTTATTTTTATTTTTTTAATTTTTTATTTATTTATTTATTTATTTATTTATTTTTTGAGTTGGAGTCTCACTCTGTCACCCAGACTGGAGTGCAGTGGCTGCTCCCTGTCACCGCAGCCTCGACCTGCTGGGCTCTGGCGATCCTTCCGCCTCAGCCTTCCAAGTAGCTGGAACTACAGGCACGCGCTACCACGCCCGGCTGATTTTTGATTTATTGTAGAGATGAGGTCTCGCCAAGTTGCCCAGACGAGTCTCGAACCCGCGGGCTCAGGCAGTCCACTCACCTCAGCCTCCCAAAGATACAGGATTACAGGCTGAGCCACCAAACCCGGCTTATTTTTTATTTTTGTGTTGGAGTCACTCTGTTGCTCAGACTGGAGGGCAGTGACATGCTCATGGCCACCACAGCCTCGACCTGCTGGGTTCAGGTGATCCTTTCACCTCAGCCTTCCAAATAGCTGGAACTACAGGCATGTGCCACCACGCCCAGCTAATTTTTTTATTTATTGTAGACATGTAGTCTCGCCAAGTTGTTCAGGCTGGTCTCGAACCCGTGAGCACAGGCAATCCTCTCACCTCGGCCTCCCAAAGTGATGGAATTATAGGCATGAGCCACCACGCCTCTTGAACTCCAAAACCTGGAAGCAGCAACAGTGAATTCGAGTATTTTTACTCATGTGCAGTACAGAGAGAGAAGTTTGTATACTGAAATCATTAGTTAGATAAAATTATTGAATATTACATAAATTCTCATCTAAAATAGGTTGGGCACTCTTTTCCTTAAGGAAATTTATTTGAGCACCTTTTGTTTCCATATTTACCTATTTTAATGGATTTGTGCATGCCAATATTTCTTGTTTTAACATCTTATTTGTGTCTAAATCATAATAACCTTTTAATTAGAATAATTTTTGCATGTGTTCTAGTTTTATAAGTTACCTCAGAAGCTAAGTCTGGATTTTAAGTACACCAAAAAAGTTAAGACTGGGTGTTTTGGGGAAGATAGGCTTTTAAATTATTTTTTCTTTGTATTTCAGCCATCTTTAATAAAAATGCATTACACTGAAAATAAAAATAAATGTGAAAATAGATGGGAGGGGAGAGATTAAATGTAATGTCATATATGTTTATATTATCGTATTTAGTTATTGGTGTGTGTATATATATTTATGTGTATATATATATATATATATATATATATATATATACACTCTTCTCAAGTATAATGACATATTTTAATGGTAATTAAAGAAATGGACTAACAAAGTATTTTAATCATATTGTTTTCAAGTTAAATTATTAATGTGGCCATAATTAAGTAGATAATATGTCGATATTCCTATTATAAACACAAAATAGTTTTTGAATTATAAATCATCAATTTTATTAATTATCCAGAAGTAAACTTGAAATAAAAAGATTATGTTTAATGTGAAGCACAAATATTAAACAATGGCACATTAAAATCTCAGAAAAACAAAATAATGGGTTTATTTTCTAGATATTTCTCTTAAAGGGAATTGGCATTCTGCCCATCGGCAACAATGGCTTTGAGTGTTTGATGTTGTTTTAGGAGCAATGCTTTATGTACATTTCAAATAAGTTTATCACAAGAAAGCTTAACTCATCCCTGTCACATATGTAGATTTCTAATAACCATGTGTCCCATGTAATATTAGCAAAAGGGCCAATTCTCCAGTTACAAAGTACCGCCAGTTTTAGAATGTTCATTTGCACTATTCTTGTCTCACAAAGAAATGTATTTGCAGCTGCTGTACGTGGTATTCAGTCCGTTACTGTGTCCTGGAAACATTTCTATTCTTCTGGAGGAATAAATAATAGCCATTTTTCTTCTGTAAAAAAATTTTTAAATTATAGGTTGTGTTTGTTGATAAGCTCTTTTTCTAAAGCATTTATAATTATGTATATTGATTATCCTTATGCTACTCTTAAGCATTCATGATTCCCACCTATCTCTAGGAATATTTTCTCCTCACCCTTTATTAGCTTACAACAGTTTTAGGATTGTAACAATCTTTTGTTATTGAGAGTAGCTTTCAACTTTTCTCCTGTTTTCTTCTTTTAAAATGTCTCTGGCTGTGGAAAAATATGTGTGGTTCAGTGATGTTGGCCTTTCCCAGAACTCAGTTTCCACTTCTAGCTTTGAAATGAGGTAACAAAACACAAGTGAGGACATACTTCTGACTTTTTCTCAATTCTCTTTTTAATATGTTTCTGTGTCCTTAAGCTAAATCAGCAAGAGATCAAAAAATGGAATCACCTGGCATGTTTGATCTGCAGGACCAGCTTTATCCCCATGCGATCATAGTGGGATAGTACAAGGCCTGGGAGGGAGAGTATGGAAGGTAGTCTGTCTTTTGCAGGAGAATATATAGGTAGTCTGTGGTGCTCGTTGCTAATATGGTGCTGACTACAAAAATGACTATAAGCCGGGCTCAGTGGCTCAGCCTGTAATCCTGCGCTTTGGGAGGCTGAGGTGAGTGGATTGTCTGAGCCCGCGGGTTCAAGACCCGCCTGGGCAGGGAGACCTCATCTCTACAATTAATCAAAAAGTCAACCGGGCGTGGTAGCGTGCACCTGTAATTCCGGCTACTTGGAAGGCTGAGGCGGAAGGATCACCGGAGCCCAGCAGGTTGAGGCTGCGGTGGCTGGGAGCGGCCACTGCACTCCAGTCTGGGCAACAGAGTGAGACTCCAACTCAAAAAAAAAAAAAAATGACTACAAAAATAAGATTCCTCCTGTTAGAATAAGTAAGCACTCAGATAACTTAGCACATTTTGCACAAGAGTTAATTTTGCTATCTGTAGTTAATGTTCTACGAAGCATATTTATATTGGCCTTGATTATGGATTTGCATATTTCCAAAAAAATGCATAATAAATGACCTAGACATGATCATTGCATTTTCTCAAGTAAACAGTATAAGGGTGAAAGGAATCTTCTCACTTACTATAAATTTAGATTAAGCTCTTATTTATAAAAAGGATACAAAATTCTGCTGAAGAGAACAAGCAACACAAAGCAAATGCAGAAATCATGAAAGAGCTTTCCTTGATCACCTAAGTCGCTAAAAGAGACATGTGATTGCCAGGGGCAATTGCCAGTGAGCAAGCTAAGATTTTACTGGATCCAAAATGCAATTTCTTGCAGCACACTGGCCTTTTTATATGTGGGGTTTCCATTACTATCATGAAGAACGTACACAAATCATGTGTCTATAGACACCAAAGTCCCTCATAGATAGTGAACTGAGTCCATTCCCCTCCACGGTTATCAGTCTGTCTCACTCTGTCGCCCAGGTTGGAGGGCAGTGGCATGCCCACGTCCACCACAGCCTCGACCTGCTGGGCTCAGGCAATCCTTCGGCCTCAGCCTTCCAAGTAGCTGGAACCACAAGTGTGCACCACCACACATAGCTAATTTTTGATTCGTTGTAAAGATGAGGTCTCACCAAGTTGCCCAGGCTGGCCTTGAACCTCTGGGCTCAGGCAGTCCTCTCGCCTCCGCCTCCCAAAGTGTTGGGATTACAGGCGTGAGCCACTGTTCCCGGCTTGCACAACATATCCACCTATTAGTTCCAAACATTCCCTAAAGTCTCTTTCGCCACACATGGGATCATCTTAATAGTAACTTTTTTAAAAGCTCGCCTTGACTGAGGGCTTATCATTTGCCAGGCACTTTGTTAAGCATTTTACGTGTGTGTGTTTGTTGTTGTTTTTTGATTCTTGTAACATTCTTATTCCTTATTATCCCCACTGTGTGATTAAGTCACTTTCTCAAGGTTCACAGTGACAGAGTTATGATTTGAACCCACATCAGTCTTGCAAATCTTATTTTCTTAACCTCTATGCTGGCTACCAATGCCAAACACATAAAGCAAACATGGTTTATTCAATATAGTCAACATTAGTGAATTCAGTCCTTTATGTATTTGCTTATTTTGTGTTGAGAGCCCATTCTACTAAAATGAAAAATAAAGATAAAATGAACTAAAAATACAAAATGAAAAATTTAAATAGATAAGGTCGATAAGAATATATATATTTTTACTGCTAACCATTAGGACTTCTCTAAGATTTAAAATATACATTCTTATTCATCAAAGATTGTAAAGTACAGACTGTCTTCTATGCAGGAGAAAAGACACTAGCTGGGTGCTCAGATTAACTTCAAAACTTTTTTTCCTTCTAGGAATTATTTGGGACAATGTGTTTTCCCCTTATGTATATTGTTGAGTTCTGAATATATATTTTATTAATTTCTCAAATTGGGATTTCTCCATAGTAAGTTAGGTTAATACAAATCCATCCTCTCTTTCAACCCCCATTGATAGTTTGCGTGTCATTTTATAAAATGAGGACAGCTGCCTGCCTTTCTGCAGTTTGAGAATGAATAAGAAAGCCATTATGTATTTAATAGTAAAGCTTTGTATTGTGAGACACAAACTTTGGGTTTGTCCTATTTTCTGTAAACCCAAAGTTAACACAGAATAACTCA